TTTTTTAAATTTTTCTTTAAAAAAGTATCCTACTACACTACAAACTACGAAAAAAAGTAGCCCACAACACTACAAACTACGAAAAAAAGTAGCCCACTACACTACAAACTACGAAAAAAAGTAGCAACTACATTTCACTATAACTTTTAACAGTCGTTGAACAGCCGACCCAATTTTTTAGGTTTACGACTACTAATGCTCAACTCCGTAGTCTAGTAATTTTGAACCCAATCCAGAAGACAAGGGAACTCCTGGATCAAGTTTTGGGAGACATTCGCCTTCGTGGGGGACTTTTTGATGGAACTAACCAGCATTTGCGTTACATGGAGAGGAAGAGCGCGAGAACCACCCACAGTTAGCTTGACGGCAGGGGGACTCAAACCCATGATCCATACCATTGAGGATATTTCCCGTTAACACTGTGGTCGGTGCAAGCCGGATCCGGAGTCGTATCGACCAGCCATCGCTGGGATTCGAACCCGGCTCACCTCATCGGAAGGCGAACTCACTATCCCCTGAGCCACCGCGACTCTAGTTTTGCTACTTGCAATGTGCTACTTTCGACCACTTCTTTGTAAATAGTTAAAATGATCGAGTATAGCTCATTCGATTGGAGCAAAACGTAGGCAAAGCAGCAATATAAGTCTTCTCTTAAGTGGTAAACAGTGTAGGGGAAAACTACATAAGCCTATTGTCATTTTTTTATTTCTTTTCCAAAAACTTGAAAATCGTTTTACATTGATATAGCACCAAATCACACAAATGCAACATGCAGCTGACTATAGAAAAATCACTACAGTTGAAGATTTTTACGTTTTGAAACATGCTAAAACAAGTAATTTATTTTATTTTTTTAACTGTCTATAAGTATTACAACTATAAAAACTTAAAAACTTATAAAAACTAGAAAAACTTTATAACGTTCCACTTGGAATTTTTAAGATCAATGTGCATTTCGGAAAAAAATCACAATTTAAGCTCATTGTAAACCAATTTTTTTCGATTTAATGCATAATTATTTTTTGTCTTACTCTGAAAAATAAAATTATCATTGTTGTATTTAGAATTATAGTCAATTGTCGTTAAATACATATCTAATGATAGTTATTCTTATGTTTTATTACTCTACATTTTTAGAGTAATATTTTAGAGCATATTTTTGTACTTTTTAGAACATATTTAGTTCTGAACTTGTTATCTCGAAAACTCGCTATCTCGAAATTTTTTTAGCGTCCCTTCAACTTCGAAATATCGAGAATATGCTGCAGTAGCTTTTTTATTTTCAGTCCTTAAATATAAAAAATGTATCTATGAAATTATCAGATAACGCAGCATTTAATTTAATCCCTACTAATCTCTACTCAATTTAATCCTGATACTGGATTCTTGTCCTCAACGACTGAGAAACGATGACAAAAAGAAATTCTTTCAATAATATTTAGGGAATAATGAAGAATAACTTAATAATAATAATGGAGAGGCATTTCCTTCAGAAATACTAACTCTATTTTTTCGCATCAACGCTTTTGTTACTTGTAATAAATGGCAATAATATTATGTATTTACTTATTTTTAATATCTTGTGTGATTTTATGTCATTCGATTGACCGCACGCAAAGAGCTACAATTTATCATTTTTGTCTCATAAAATAAAGTTACTACGAAGATGCAGTTAACTTCTGGGCCGAATCTTTCGAAAGGGACTGTCGTCATGACAACGATCTAGAATAGCTCCTGAAATATCCGGGATATCCTGTTGACAGGAACACCACATCTGGAAATGTATCTTTTTTGGCGACTCCACACTCAACAGGTTGATGCGTTTTTTTCTCCCCTGGAGGAATTTTTCTCTTTAGAAACGTAGTTCTACCAACTTGGAACTTCTAATTCCCACTCAATATTTAAAACTGTAAAATAATAAAAATGTAGTAAGAAGAATTAATTTAATCATTTAAATATTTTATGTGAAATCTGAAACTTTGTAAGCAACATTTTCCATGTTAACAAATAGCTTGTTAAACACATATTTTTGTTGCTAAATTTCAGTTTCTTTTCTTAAAGTGAAATTAAACTAAGTTACAAATTTTTTAAACAACTTTTTAATTTTTCCTTGAAATAAACTATTAGCCTCCGAGTTAAACTTTTAAAAAGCAATCAATTTTTTAAATTCATATAAGAATTATGAATAACTGCTCAGTTTGAATGTGTAAACTAAATTTTCCATGTTATCACGAAGCTTGTTAAACACATATTTTTGTTGCTATATTTTGTTTTTGTAAAAAAGTCAAATAAAACTGCATTACAAATTTTTTATGCAACTCTTAAAACAATTTTTTTAAACTTTTGTTTAAAAGAAACTGTTGGCCTCCGAGTATCCGAGTAACACGTTTTAAAAGCATTAAAGTTATTAAATGCTTTTCAAATTCATAAATAATGTAAATAACTGCTCAGTTTGAATGTTGACACATTCAAACTGAATGTTGACACAGTCTGTCCCTTCTTACGCTACATTTTCTATGTTATCACAGAGCTTGCAAATCACATATTTTTATTGCTGAATTTCATTTTCTTTTAATGTGAAATAAAACTACGTTACAAATTTTTAAACAGCTTTTAAAACTTTTAAAAGATTTTTTAAATAGTTTTTTAAATTTTTCTTTAAGAAAACTGTTAGCCTCCTTGTTGCACTTTTAAAAAGCATCAAATTTATTAAACGCTTTTAAAATTCGTAAGAATTATGAATAACTGCTCAGTTTGAATGTGTCAAATCTGTCCCCTCTGACGCTACATTTTCTATGTTATCACAAAGCTTGCAAATCACATATTTTTGTTGCTAAATTTCATTTTCTTTTAATGTCAAATAAAACTATGTTACAAATTTTTAAACAGCTTTTAAAACTTTTAAAAGAACTTTTAAATAGTTTTTTAAATTTTTCGTTAAGAAAACTGTTAGCCTCCTTGTTGCACTTTTAAAAAGCATCAAATTTATTTATCGCTTTTAAAATTCGTAGGAATTATGAATAACTGCTCAGTTTGAATGTGTCAAATCTGTCCCCTCTGACGCTACATTTTCTATGTTATCACAAAGCTTGCAAATCACATATTTTTGTTGCTAAATTTCATTTTCTTTTAATGTGAAATAAAACTACGTTACAAATTTTTAAACAACTTTTAAAACTTTTAAATAGTTTTTTAAATTTTTCTTTAAGAAAACTGTTAGCCTCCCTGTTGCACTTTTAAAAAGCATTCAATTTATTAAACGCTTTTAAATTCGCAAGAATTATGAATAACTGCTCAGTTTGAAAGTGTCAAATTTGTCCCTTCTTACGCTACATTTTCCATGTTATCAGAAAGCTTGTTAAACACATATTTGAGTTGCTAAATTTCGTTTTTTTTTTTTTTTTTTTTTTTTTTTTTTTTTTTTTTTTTTTTTTTTTCCTCAAGCGAAAATTTTTTTTCTTCTTTTTTTTTTCAAGCGAATTTTTTTTTATAACCATTGAACTGCCCACCCAATTTTTAGTTTACGACTACCAATGTTCTACTCCGTACCCTTGTAATTTTGAACTCAATCACGAAAACAAGAGAAATCCTGGATCGAGTATTTGGTGAAATTTGCCATCGTGGAGAACTTTTTGATGGAACTAACCCGCATTTGCCTTACATGGAGGGGAAAGCCACAAGAACCTTCCACGGTTAGCCTGACGGCAAGGGGACTCTAACCCATCATCCATCTACCGGTGCAAGCCGGGTGCAGAATTCGTATCGACCAGCTAGCGTTGGATTTCGAACCCGGTTCACCACATTGGCAGGCGAACTCTCGATCCCCTAAGACACTGTGCCTCTAAATTTTTTGCTAGTAAAAAATTAACTGGAATCTGACAAATATCTTCCATTCTGTTTGATGACCTTTTGCGATCTTCCTGGCAACATTATGATCACACACTCATTGAACTGTTGGTCCTTATCATCACAAAAAACTTAAACAAATGCGATTTTAGGTCTCATTATAATGGAAACTTTTCCATTTAAAAAATTCTGTTAGCTTCGAAATAAATGATATTTCGGTGGTGCAATGTCAAAGCTTTATGAGGGACGACAAACCACGAAGGAATCGCGTTCCACCACAACAATGCGAGGCCTCATTCATCTTCAGCAACACTTGCTAAATTATTGGAGCTCGGTTGGGAAGCGTTTTTTCATCCCTCATATGGGACCGACCTTGCCCCACCGGCATTGCCACTATCAACTAGCATATGTAAAGTGTGTTAGATAAATATCCTTCATGGTTAGCAAAACAGTAAATTAATTTTATTAATACTACGAATTTCAAAATACTACTTATATTTTTCATAAATCATGTTTTATGATAAGTTATCGCCTCAATTAAGTTCTTTAAATGTTCAGTAGTGTTAAAAATAATGATTCTAAAATGAAACAAATGATAATCCAGGTTTATTGACAACATTATGAGGCGATAACTTATCATAAAACATAAATCATGTTTTATGATAAGTTATCGCCTCAACTAAGTTCTTTAAATGTTCGGTAGTGTAAAAAATAATGATTCTAAAATGGAACAAATGATAATCCATGTTTATTGACAACTTCACATACAATAGAAATAAATATTTAGTATTAATATATACTTACAATCATTAAATATTTAAAACAAGATAAATAGAAAATTATTAAAACTGTAATATTTAAAATATTTCTCTCTGTTTAAAAATGACTAACTATATAAATTTGGCAGAAAGTATACGTAATTATAATCTTTTCACACACTTAAATAATTGGTGTTAGCAAAAGCCTGAGTTCCTATATCAAGCCGTAGGCTTGAGAATAACGACAAGTGGTTTCGAAATTGTACAGAGTAAGGCTGTTGAGATGAGCTACATTGCAAAGTTTACGTGAATCATTACACTCTTTTTCTATAATCTCTTTTTAAATTCAAGAAAGTATTACAGTTTATAAGCAGGTATTACGATATTTTTGAACTCTTTGTAAAATCATTTTTTTTAAAATTGCAATTAAATTTTTGATTTCACTGCTATAGTTCGTTCACCAGAAGTTGGCACTTGGCTCCACCTTAATCACGTGGTATCCGACGATACTATTTCCCTATTTTTTGCACAGGGATGTGAACAATCCTGAACAAGGTTGCTACTTGGCGATAGTATGACAAAAATATTTATTTCGCACTCTTTATGTGCATTTTTTTTAACATTAAATATTTCATAAATTTAATGTTATTTCTCTCTTTTGAGTGAATAGTTTATACTTTTTTGAGAAATTTTGCTGCAATATATTTAATTACCTAGAGTAACGGAAGGTATAATAGCAAATGATAAAGCGAAGTACGTGACTGAAGAAAAATTCACTATTTGCATTTGACACGCATTAAGGGTTGTCTCAGTTTCAAGCGCGGGGACGTTACTCCTCTTACTCCCGCACTGAAATGAACTCTTCGTCCGTAGATGTGGAACCAAGTGCCAACTCCTGGTGAACGAACTATACGAGAAAATTTGGCTTTCGGTGTAGAAAAATACGACCGTTTTTTTAAGGTTCGCATAGGCAAACTTTACCTTTCACTCATGTTCAAGCGATTCGATTTAGTTTAGTTTAGGTTTTTTTTGCTTGTTCCCATAGCAACGGTTGTTTTTGGTGTCAATCTTAAGAGTAGATAATATGGAATTCAAGAATCTTTTTCGATTTTAAAGTGATAAATTTATTATTACAATAATTAATTCGAGAAGCATCCTTTGAGCTAATATTCCTATTTCAGTGATTTGTTTTCCACGAAATTATATTTCTTAAAGAGTCTTCACAAAATATTGATTTAAAAAATTATAATTAATTCCTGAAGACGGGTAAAAGAGCTGGATATGCAGGAGGCCTTCTGCTGAGGTCTTTATTTCTGACTGGGTAGGTGGCGATCATTATTGGCAACTGAAGCTTGATTGGACGGTCCAGACCTTTTGGTTCAATAACAAACTGAAACGAAAACAAAATGAAATAAATCTGCCGTTCTCTTAATAAGTGATTTTAAAAAAATCACATAGCTAATTGCACCAAATTGCATAGCTAATAAAAGCATTGTATAGAACCCTAATTATACAATATCCACAACATGCCCTTCAAAAGAAAAAAAAATGGATGCAGCTCTCACAACAAAAGCTCAAAAACTCGCTGAACTTGATACAGCTCACACCACAAGTTCTCAAAATCCGCTGAACAATACAACAAGTGGTATCCGTTCATCGAATTTCATCCCTGATAAAATTCTGATGGGGGAGTATTGGGGCGTAACTACCTCTACGATTTTTAAAATCGTCGATCGAATACAGGGATCTAGAGGAAATTTCCCTCTTTTTCAAATCTATATCTAAACTCAAGCAGTAGCTTCACGAATGAATGGTGCTACTATCTATACCAGGGATGAGGAAACTACGGCCCGCGGGCCAACTGTGGCCCGCCGGAAGATTTTAACCGGCCCGCGGACAGAATTTTAACTAGCCGATCAGTGGCGAATACTTTGTTTAAAACTATTTTTGTTGATTTCTTTTTTAACAAAGTACTGATGACCTTTTCACTTTCTCTATTTTTGTTCTACAAAACATAAATTAATTAAAATAGTTAGCACAAACAGCTTTAACTGGTAAAATGTTGACAGCAAAAGTTCTTTATAGAATAGCTGTAGATTAGCTACAACTAGTATTTGTCTTTCTCGAGGAGCAGACATGTGGAATCTAATATAGGTGAATTGTACTTCACATAAGGCTGACTACGCGTTTTAAGTTCCAACGAACGGATTTTTCTGCCGGCTCGAGTTCTAACATAATTTACTGCGTATGGAAAAGTTGCACACACACAATGTCATTGTAAATAATGGTGAAATTATTAAATGTATAAAATGGCTACTGCCTTTTTGAGTTATTTGTAAACATTTTTTATCCCAAAATGGCAACTAAAAAACGCAAAGTTGATGTAGAGTGACGTGCACTCAATGATGAATTGACTTTATTTTATTTCAGAAGTTTTTACTCGGCCCACCAAACTTTTTTTTCTAGATTTTTGGCCCACGACCCAAAAAGTTAACCCATCCCTGATCTATACCATATTTCCTAGCCAAGACGTACTTTCACCCTTACGGTGCTCTCTTGACAAATAAAAGGTTCCCCTTTCTGACTTGATTCGCAAGACGGCTGGCGAGCTTTACTTGACCAAGCGTCATTAGAAACAACAGCGATATTAGCGAAACAACAGCGATATTAGAAACAACAGCAACTAAATATTTCTTTAAACAATTGATTTTAATTACTTTAAATATATATTGTGAAATAGCAAAACGTTTTCTTAGCGTAATTGAATTTTAAATATTACCAGTTTCTCATAATACCGGATGAGAAAGAAAACAAAATTTCGAACCAGATATCTTTCTTCAAAAGCCACTTGGTCATTGACATTCGTCCTTCGGGTATCAGAAGGACAGATTTCTTGACCACTCTTTTAGGAGCACTATACTAGGTGGGACAATGTTACTCCCACAATAAGAAGGACAGAGAAGCGAATGAAAGGACATCCATGCCTTGTCCTCGATTCAAACCTGGAACCTTTCAGGCGCAAGATCAGTTCCCCGACCACCATACATGCCGATCAGCTTTCGAACGAGAGAACAATCTGCGATGTTTAAGGATAAATTTCGTTAAAGACAAAATCGTGCAAAGAATTTTTTTTTTATCAATTTTTTTTCCGTTGCCTGACAGCCAAACGATATGAGTTTTCCCCGTCGAAAGCAAGTTTAAAATGGTTTCTAACTTTTTTTTTATATATATAACCGTCGTTGAACAGCCGACCCAATTTTCTGAGCTTACGGCTAATAATGCTCAACTCCATAGCCTTGTAATTTTGAACCCAATCCAGAAGACAAGGGAACTCCTGGATCAAGTATTGGGAGAAATTTACCTTCATCGAGGACTTTTTGATGGAAATTACCAGCATTTGCGTTGCATGGAAAGGAAGACCACGAGAACCTCGCATTGATAACCTGACGGCAAGGGGACTCTAACCCATGATTCGTCTACCACTGAGGATATTTTACGTCAGCGCTGTGCCCGGTGCAAGCCGGATGCGGATTCGTACAGACCAGCGATCGCTGGGATTCGAACCCCTTCCCCCTCATTAGAAGGCGACCGCTCTATCTCCTGAACCATCGCTGTTCTATGGTTACAAACTTGACAGAGAACACAAAATTATAAATATAGCAAATAAGATTCTTACATAAACATCGTACTGTATTCTGATGAGATGGCAGCCTCTTAGGTTGGTGGGGGGGAGTGGAGGGATGTGGAGGAGGGCGTTTTGCCACTGATCCCCCGAACCGGATGCAATACGCCCCTTCTGCAGGGAGGCCAGCTCTCTACTCTCCGTATGAATTAATTTATTCTTTGCCGTATACTGAATGGTCTGAAACAACAAAAACAAGGATATAACATATGATTTATTTGGTATTATATGGTACATTTCCATAAGGGATTGTCTTGCCATATATAATATAATATACAGATATCTATGGTTATCATAGGTTTATGGTATCTTGCCATATAAATGCCATACAGATCTCCATGGTTACCATAGCCTTATGATAGCCTGCCGTACAAATTTCTATGGTAGCCATTTGCATATGGCGTTGTGCCATACGGATCTCTATGGTAACCATAGGCGTATGGTATTTTGCCGTACAAATTTCTATGGTTAACCATAGGTTGCCATAGATTACCATAGGTTACTCTATGGCAAATTTTGCTAAGGGATTCAGTGTACAAAAACAGTTATTCAACAGATTATCTAGCTATTATGCAAATTTACATGGATGATTCGTTTTGGTGGAGAAAAAAATTCTCATTTCTCAAGTTATTATAACTACCGCGACATTCTGCACATTACCTACCAGGCAATCGTTAAAGTGAAGATAAGATAATTGCTGGAAAAATAACATCGTTTCTTTACCCTGAAACTGCATTTGTTTATTTTTCGCTATCAAAAAAAATCAAGCTACTACAATCAACGTATTGATTGATAGAATCAATCACTTTAAAAAATATAATACCAAGAATCAAATGGTTTATAAAAATATTATTACTATACAAGTAAGGAAATTAACATAATGTCATTTATTTATTTTTCAGCATCGAATCAATGCAATCAAACAATCATTGATTGAATTAGAAGGACAAACTGTAACATTACGGAGGCCGTTGATGCGTCCATTAACAAGGTAAATTATGGAAAACACTTGATTTCGCACTTTAATGGATGCATTAAGTTCGTCTGCAGATTATTATCTATATAATGTGCACATTAACGGCTTACGGGATTTAACGGGGACATATATGATGTGCAATTATAAATTTACGTTGCCTGCCTAATAAATTGCCATAATGGAATAAAATTCCTTTTGAAGCCTTAAAGATTTGGGTTTAAAACAATTATCTACAGCTCATGATTAATATAACTGTGTTAACACCTTCTTGCGCATTAACAAAATGTGATCTTCATAGTAAAAGACTTGTTATTGAGCCATATTTTTATCACGAATAGTGGCGACGTTAGACGGAGACGAAGAGAAGAAACTTAGTGTTATCTTTAATGCGCCATTGAATGGTGTCTTTAAATCCCAATAAACGCTTCAAAAAAAATTTAGTAATTTTCAATTTTATAAGCAGCTTTGATTCGTGTGTCTTAGGTTAATAATTAGTGATAACAACTGGTAATTATATAATTTCCAGAAAAGATATTATATTTTCAATTTCTATTATAGCAGCTTATTTCTTGTGCTTTTAGGATCCAATGTAAAATGAATTGTTTTGAATTTTGATGATTTGTTATCACGGGTTCAGAAGAGGGACTGCGCAGTTGAACATTGATAGTAGTAAGCTCAGAATTGGGTCAGCTGTTCAAGAATTGGTATGCCAGTCATAAACTAAAATAAACTATCAAGTACTATTTTATCGGAACATTGAAGAAAAAATTCGCGATATGTTTTTTATTTTATAACCGTCGTTGAATAGCCCACCTAATATTTTGGGTTTATGGCTTCTAATGTTCAACTCCGTAGCCTCGTAATTTCGAGCCCTATCCAGAAGATAAGGGAACGCCTGGTTCAAATATTGGGAGAAATTTGCCTTCGTGGAGGACTAAACGAATATTTTAAAAAATAAAATAAAAAATTCTGGGTAAAATTTCCATATCACCCAGCAATGATGAGCATAGAATTTGATATATACATTGTAGTTTGCCTGTTTAGTGTTTAGTTTAGTGCTGCAAATCAAATGGTGGGTAAAATTTCCATATCCCCCAGCAATGATGAGCATAGAATTTGATATAGTTTACCTCTGTGAGGGTAGCCTTTGTCCTCTTGATGGTGACTTTACTGCTGTTTTCGATGGCTGCATAGATGCAGATATTCTCCCCGGGCACGTAACCACCCCTGTCCAGACGAATTCTACAGAGAATGCTTCCCGCCGTCAGACAGGGTATCCCAACTTTCTCCTGAATTTCACAGTGGAAGGGTTGCTTTGGAAGAAACAAAAAAATTTATTAAGTAATAAATAAGTAAATAGAATTCAAAGTTAATAAAAATTAAATAAATAAAATATAAAATAGGTAAAAAAAAAATTAAATATGAAAAATAAATATCACATATTTACACTCTAAAAAATAGGTCTGACAATAAACGCAACTATGAACGTGGAATGGAAATACGGTGCAGATTTGCTGCAACCTTATTAAGGTGATTATCCGTTCAAATTGATTTAACAATAGCGTGCTAACATGGTTATTAAAATCGCAGGAAAATTGCATGACGAAGCAAAATGGGAGAAACACACTCCAAAATTGTGCAGAGTGTCCAAATTTTTGATGGTTTTTCATTGATGGAACAACATAGTCTTGATGGTAACCATCAATCATTCCATCATGAACTATTATGTTTTTTGATGGTAACCAACATAAGCAACCATTAACCCAAAGTAAGAATTCGGACTGATTCATGAGGGTCCAACATAAGAACTTGTTTTGATGGTTTGTCCATGTTGAATCATCACGAATTTCCATCATAGTATCTTAGAAAGCAAATATTGGAACGATCATTGACCATCATCACCCTGATGTAGGAATTCGAATTCATTTATGATGGGCCAACATTAAAAAAAAATTTATTGTTTAGATTTTATATTCCTAAGAACCAACAAGAATTCCCATTAAATCATCATGGAAATGTATAGTTGGAGCCATCATGAACCATCGCGGATCACAATCGTTCGTGCATGAGAATCAAAATTCTCTTGATTGTTAACCATCATAGTGTATTAAAGTAAAATTCCATCATGGAATGATGGATGTTTGTTGGTATATCAAAAAACCATGAACATATAATGGAAAATGATGGATGATGATGACCATTAAGTGATGTTGAACCATCATGAATCGCACTGAAACCAACATAAATCCTCAAAATGTTTCAATGGGGCCATTAAGAATTTTGTCTTGGGATACAAGTTCTGAATTATACTTTTATTCGATACAACTTAGACAAGTAAAAGTCTTGCAAAAAACTACACTAGTGATCTCAAGTTAGTATTCATGACAGAAATAAAAACTTTTAGAACTCAGATTATTGAGGACTCAAAAGGAAGAAATCATTTTATCTTTATTTTATACCCGTCGTTGAACAACCGACCCAATTTTTGGGTTTATGACTACTAATGTTCAACTACATAGCCTTGTAATTTTGAACCTAAACCTGAAGACAAGGGAACGCCTGAATCAAGTATTGGGTGAAATTTGTCTTCGTGGATGACTTTTTGATGAAACTAACCCGCACTTGCGTCACATGGAGAGGGAAACCACGAAACCTCCCATGTTTAGTCCGACGGCAAGGGGAATCTAATCCATGATCCGTCTACCCCTGAGGATATTTTACATCGGTACTGTGGTTAGCGTGAACCGGGAGCAGAATTCGTATCCGCTAGCCAGCACTTGGATTTGCCTCAATGGGAGGCGAACCCACCTGAGCTATCACTGCTCTAGAACTTGATATATAAGTATCGTATTCGATAATTATTAAGATACACAATAAATAGAAGACCACGAGTACATCCCATGGTAAGCCAGACGGCAAGGGAACTCTAACCCATGATCCGTCTACCCCTGAGGATATTTCACGTCAGCACTGTGGTCGATGCAAGCCGGATGCGGAATTCGTATCGATCAGTCATTGCTGGGACTCGAACCCGGTTCACCTCATTGGAAGGCAAATGCTCTATCTCTTAAGCTATCACGGCTCTTTTCCATCTTTAGTTTAGATTGCCTTTAAAAATAATTGGTCTGAATTGGAAAAGATTTTTGTTCTTTCTTAGTTTAATATAGATTTCATACCTTGCGCAGTATTATTTTTACTTCATATTTTAAAAGATGATAAGACCTTATGCGGAAAGCGGTAATTACAGAACCATTTGTGTCGAGATGTTATCAATAAGGATAAAGATTATAACTGAAAGAGAGGATCACATGATAGATTTTGTAAAAATAAATAAATAAAATTACCATCAACAATATTAATTTTTGTTTTATTTGACTTCAGTCAATTTACGGTATTCTAAAATTTAGTGCTTAATCAAATCATAAAAGAATTTCCTTTTAAAAAGTAGAAGAAACTTTAATTTCTTTCGTTAGAAAAGTAGATTTCATAAAAAAAAAAGGAGGGGTTTCGAGAAAACTATATTCCAAAATCATTCTCAAAAATATTTATTGATAAATATCTCACAAATATGCATATGTCTCATCATATTCTACGTAAATATGTCCCATATAGACGCTAGTAAGGGAGTACAAAAAGGTGCAATTTCACCTCATCTGGAAATCAAATAAATAAATAAAGTATAGTTTGCCAATAACTCCGCTTTTATTAAAAAAAAATATCTATATATAAAAATATCGTTAGGACCACCGCCGCGTGTTTAGGGTGTTCAACTCATTATTAAGTTTGATTTATTGCACAAAAACTATAAGACTTTGAATTGCGAGGATATGAAGAAAATGTATCATGGAATAAAATGCCATGGAATGTTAGAATAAAAAGTCATAAAAATGGAATAAAATAAAATATAGAGAGTATGATGGAATAAAAAAAATTAACATTCGATAATTAGTTCGAGAATTTTTAACTGGAAAACAATCTGCGAAACAAATTATGCGGGCCGCAAGAATGCAACTACAGACTTAAAATTTGACAAACTGAAAAGGCCATTTTCATATTGGAACTTAGCGCCGATTTTTTTTTTTTTTTTGTTCGAAAGTTATTGCAATTTTTTTAGCAACTGCGCTTTTCTTTGCTTTAAATAATAATGATCTACCAATTGTTTTAGAAAAATTTATCTTTCTCGAGAACTTCATTTAATAATTTCATACTCAACTTGATGTCAAAGTAGCAAAAAACATAAATAAATAAAATAAATTAATTAATTAAGTAATTAAGTAATAGGTATTATGAAAATGTAAGAAAAGGAAAAATAAGATGTAGTATAATATAAATCTTAACATTTGTAACAGAATTTTTAAATATATTAAAGCTTTAAGAAATATCTATCTGAAATTCGAACTGTTATTAGTTATTAGGTTATCATTATATATAGTTAGCAAGTAAAGTTATTTATTTCTTTTTTTGTATCGCACAATCTGTTCTTCAAAGTTTAAATTTTATTTAGGTGCAAAACTAGTTTCTGATGTGAAATTTCCACACTCGAGTTAGGTAAGTTCAAGTATTTGTTTAAATGCAATAAAACATTTGTTTCCAAGTGTAATACTTCTTTAGAGTCCGATAGGTTAATACGGCACAAATGTTGCATTTTCAATTTAATTTCATAACTATCTAATTTTTTTTGTAAATTAAGGGACAAAACAAAAACAAAAAATACCTAATTCTTAAACTAAAAAAATTGTAAAACGCACATACTTCATGTTTTTTCTTTTGTGCTCATAACACATTTAATTAACAGAATAGCATATTTGAGTAGAGCACGATTTTTTTATTTATTTATAATGTTATTTCAATGCTATTTTTTTGTTAAAATTTAAATGCTATTTCAATTATCAATTTTGTACCAAAATTTGTTGGTTTAGTTTTGGTTAAATAATTGAAATTGTTTGAAAAACTTTCTGATGTTAACGTGTAAAATTATTTGCAGGAAGAAACTTATACACAATATTTGAAATATATTCTAATGAATATTTTCCCTTATTGCACTTTCCTCCACAAGAAGAAAAAAATAATAATAATAATTCTGTTTTTCACATTAAAGTCACGTTATATGAGTATTTTTCTCTACCGACCCTTAAATCTACCCACCCAATTTTATTCGTTATCATAAGTTTATAATATAGTTTATAATTTATGTATATATAGTTAATATATAGATAGTTTATATATAGATAGTTTATATATATAGTTTAAATACCTCCTTTTGTTGTGACAGGTGTGTTATAAATAATTTCTTTCATAATTTCTAAAATATTAAGGAACGTGTGTACCAATAAAGGTGCAAAAATATGACGTAAAAGGCCGGCTTGGCCACCCGGAAGATTAAATAACTGCCGGAGGAATGGTAACAACCGCAAGCTCTGTAAGTTTATAAGGTAATGTTTACCAATCAACGGAGAAAAAAAAAGGTAACGATTCATCGGCTCGATGGTTCACAATAATTATAACTTTTCCTCGGGCATTCCAATACAATTAAACAGAGAATCAGTCTCGTCTCACAGAAGAGACTGCCTTCATTAATATTTAATATGTATAATTAGTTTTTTTCATAAATATCCGCAAAAATAGTTTTCATATTGAATAATATTAAACTAAGTAGATTCCACAACCAGCCCATTATAATATTCTTTACTTTACAAAATCGAACTTATTTCAATCCTAGAATTCAAAAACTTAGCAAAACTAAAAATTAATGTGGTCTCCCAATCTAGGAAATCTAGCCATTCAATTAAAAGCATTATCTTTTTATCAAATATTTAATTTATGGTAGTTATTGTGTAATGGTTAAACACTCCCTGGGAAGCCAAAAAACATATTCTAACCACAAAAATAGTTTCATATTGAATAATTTTAAACTAAGTAGATTCACAACCAATCCATTATAATATTCTTAAATTTACAAAATCAAACTTATTTCAATCCTAGCAATGAAAAACTTAACAAAACTAAAAATTAATGTGGTTTCCAAACCTATAGGAAAACTAGCCATTCATTAAAAATGCATTATCGATTTTATGAAATATTTAATTTATGGTAGCTATTGTGTAATGGTTTAACACGCCCTGTGAGGCCAAAAAAAAACATATTATAACCACAAAAATAGTTTCATATTGAATAATAGGAAACTAAGTAGATTCCACAACCCATTATAATCCATGTTATATAAAACGCTAATACGTACGTATGTATCAATAAAACCGATGATATTTCTTTTCTCGCGCTGGCAACAGTTTTCATTTTTAATTGATTGGATTCGGCGCGCAAGAGCACGTAGTGAGCATCATATGGCTAATCCATGTTATATAAAACGCTAATACGTTTTAATTGAGAGGCTTCGGCGCGCAAGAGCACGTAGTGAGCATCATATGTCTAATCGGGTGAATTCTCACCGAATTATCAAAAAAATTCTCACAAAATTATCTTCATCGAAGCCGATGCTTTACATCCGGCGTTCAGTACTATTTCATATTGTTTTACAACACATGGTTTTAGCCCTCTGGTGGGAAAGACTTTAAAACAAAACTTACAACAGTTACTTTTCTCAGCAACTGAAATTTAGAATAGTGTGATTAAGAAAAATATTTGAACTGTTTGCAATTTCAAATTAATATTGAAATGCGCAGGTTTAGAATTTTCTACAGTAAAAAGTTTTCGGAACTTCAGTGTTCAAAAAAGTATACGAAAGCTAGACCTTAAGAGCGTATCCAATGAGCGAGCATCAGATTGGGAAGCAATCCGTAATGAACTGCGAAAGCAGTTCCGGGGGTTGGTGAGCTCCAGCGAGCAGGGGGCGAAGCCTCCTAGTATTCTTTACTTCATAAAATCGAACTTATTTCAATCTACTGGCTTCATTAGCAATTGGATAATAATAATCTGTCAATTGGAATGATCGCCCTTAATTTCTCCAGTTTTTGCAATATAACCAAAATGAAACTATTTTAGACCCAACATTGTCCGAAATTTAAGACTACATAATTGCTAGAAATCTTTCTGATGACTTACCATTAGCAGAGAGGGTTCGAGATTGAGGTCTATGGGATTCATGATGATGAAGACTTGCTGGTTTTTGTGCGTCAGCCCGGATGCCTCTTTCAGTTCTGCCTTACAGTAGTACTGAACCCATCCATGTTTGGCAAGAAAGGTGGAGGGTAAGCCTAAGGGTAGGCCAAGCTTGAAAGGAAAAGTGTGAACTCCTGGGGAAAGGATCATCATCCGACCTGCAAATACACCACATTAAACCCTCATCTAGTGCTCTAAAACTTTAATATCATTTTCTTTCAAAACTCCTTAGGAATACAAATCACCTTAAACAAGAAGCAATTTTTTTTTTAATGTCTTATACTGAAAATGCAACACATAAGGCTGAACTAGATCAGTCTAACTTCACCGATCCAGCAATCGTCTGCTTCTTCTGGTTGAAATACATTTTTAATGCATTGTTTGCAGCCATTAAATATGAAAGAGTATTCTCGGAAAAAGTTTATAAATTAACATTAAAAAAACATGAACTCCGAATAAGCAGTATTGAAGCAAAGGAGAGTTTGGAATCAGTATATTTGCGGATACTCAAAACGTGATTTCCTAAGAAAGGCGAATCTATTTCGATTTCACTTGATAAAAGTGGTTTTTAAATGCTTTTAAATCCTATTTTACTCTGATTGGTCAAAATCAGAAGATTTTTTCGTTTTACTTTTCAGTTAAATTTGTCAATGAACGAAGTTTTATCATAAAATCACAAATCGTTTCATAATTAATGGTGATAAACGCACGTATGCTTTGAATCCAAGAATTCATGAAAATTTTGATCCGGAAACCATGGTGTTGAATGAAAGATTCTAGCGCCTCTAATCCAGCGATGGTTCAGACTTATTGTTCAGGAGGAGTGGTGCTGCAAATAAAACCAGGAACCTTTTTCTACAACTGAGAGAGAGGCCGTGTTGACCCAGTGGTTAGAGAATCAGACCTAAGTCCGGCAGGATCGGGGTTTGATCCTCGACTCTGCTGAGACCCATCCAGTACATGCGATCTACGTGCTCGTGAAATATGTGGAATCAAAAGTACTATGGTCGGTCACTGAGAAATACCATGGGTAGAGGAATCTGGAGAAAATTTCATACCCTTTCAGATCTATGTCTAAATTCAGGAAGCGGCCTTACAAATGTGATCCCCTCTGCAGAGGATCAAAATTGTAATCGCATGTTTCCGAATCATCCTTAGGGATGTTTTCCAGACCGTCACCAATAGCCCATTGTACAGCTGTAGTGCGACGTTTATAAAGTACCTACCTGAGGGAACAACTAATCTGATGAAAACAAATTACCACTAATGAGGTGGTTTATTAGCAAATATTCATGAGAAAATATCTTTTAATGATGTAATTTTTTCGTATCCCACTTTTCAAGGATAGGCAACAAATAACCAAGTGACGAAAAGAGCCAATCATCGTGCGTTTGAGTTCCAGCCTGACTCGAAATTATGTTTACTTGGCAATGCTAGGGTTTAGGTTTTATAAATCCTCTTGTAACGTGAACAGTCTGATGTCAGGTCTCGATTAAATAGGTTGTAAAAGGGGGAACATTTCTCCTTTAATGAAAGGTAAGACTTGTTGCTGTGTAAATATAAAGGTTTTAAAATGAATTTTAAACGTAGATAGACAGTAAAATATATCACACTCACCTCCTTCTCCAAGCATTCTCATTTTGAAGTCGATGTAATTCTCTTTGTCATTCGAGCTGCCGGACACTCTGACCACTCCTTCTCCCAATATATGGAAATACAAACCTGGAACAAAAAGAAGAAACTATACATACGTAAAAGTCTAACCCTGAAAAAAGGGCTGAATTTCAGAATGGAATTAATTAACTAAAGCTTTAATGACTCATAAAATGTTAGTAGTATGTTACACAACAATAGCCTAATGAACTTCAAGCGTTATGTCACGAGGTGATGGAATAATACAGTTTTTGTCACTTTGTTTCTGTTAACAACAAATAAGAAGTGACAGCATTTGGATCAAAGTTATTGTATATAGAATTGGATGCTTGTAACTCGAGAAGAAATGAAATGATTATGCAATTTAAATCAGACCTAATTGAATACCTGTAGGCGTCACACTGAGTGGCTTCTGCATCGACGAATGCCTCAATGTAACAACGTGGTTGATGTTGTTGTAGTTCATTTACGTCGCACTAGAGCTGCACAATGGGCTATTGGCGACGGTCTGGGAAACATCCCTGAGTATGATCCGAAGACATGCCATAGCAATTTTGATCCTCTGCAGAGGGGATGGCACCCCGCTTCGGTAGTCAGACGACCTGCACGCGAAGTCGAGCACTGTACGGTAGGACAGTTTAACGAGGACCCATACCGCAAACCCTCGGTCCCTACGCAGACTGATCCAAGTTTTGTGGGGATGTTGTGATCTTCTTTTTCTTGAAGTGCAAGCATCCAATAGTTAATTTTTATTTATTTATTGGCAAACAAATATAAAGATAACTGTTTCACAAGTTGTGGTATTATTTGACCACGATAAGTTTTCAGGTGGCGGGAAAGCTTAAAGGAAGAGTTCACTTTTTCATAGGTGTGGAAAGTAAAAGCGAGGTGCGTAAACCGAGTGATACAACAATATGGCTTTCTGATCTTTTTTTTAATCTTTATTTTCTGCTGTATTTTTATTTTCCGTTTGTTGTTTTTATTTAATATTATTAATAATTTTTATTATTTCATAATTGTTAATTTAATAGAAAATTTTCATAACTTATAATTGTTGCATACCCATGAAACATATATATAAATGCTTGAGTGTTTGACAATTATTGAAATGCTAATTATTAAAAAAGTGTAAATTATGGAATTAACAAATATACATAGTACAATCACCGGCCAAATTAGAAGACGCACTATAAGATTCTATGTAAAATCCTAATTATCACGTGATACTATACAGCTTTATTGTTTTCACGGGGCTGAAACCGGTTTGCATACCCGGTTTGCGTTAGTGTATCAATTTTTTAACGTTGTAATGCAACACGTTGAAAATAAATACAAATAGGAGGTATATAAAAATCTCCTATCCCAGTAAATAAAAAATTTAATCCAATCAGAATAAAAGCGCATTACATATAAAAGTATTGCTTATAAACTCGTGCAAAACTCTTTGATCAAACTCAATATTATAGATGTTTGATTGGAAATGTAATGAATAATGTATAATTTTATTCCCAAACATTCTTAATATGCTTATCAACCAGAAAGCAAAGTTAGCGCTTTGAAAGTCACTTTAAATGAAATACAATTTTCATATCAGTCGGGTATTTCGTGAAGCTATTTTCTTACATTTAAGAATTGGATGAAAATGCAATTGAAAGATGCAATTTTAACAAATAAGCGTAAGTTTTGGATATATTTATTAATCGGGGATTTTAACTTTAATTTAATATTGATATTTTTTTTTTGTAGAAGTAGTCCTGACAAGACTCGAATTATATATAAAAAAGAATTATTCAACTGAACTGAGTGCAAATATTTGAATTTAATCCAAAGAAGATTACGTTTTCCCTAAAATTTCAAAAAGAGTAAAAAATCTGAAATCAAATCAAGTGTTATATATATGTTGGATTGACTAAATAAAACAAAAATCATCTATAGGGGAGAGTGGGGTCAATTGTAACAGGGTACGATTGTAACAGAGCAAAATTTTCGAGTGTCGGGTTCTAGATTTGGTTCCTAGGTGGCGCACAAGGTGTATTTAATAAATCTACATGTACACCCCTGATGGCAATCATTTTTATGTACTTTTGAAAGAGTTAGATCACAAAAGATATTTTCACGCCACGCAAGTACTTTTTTTGGTATTAGAATATTATATTGTAACAAAGTAATTTTGTTTAAACAAATAAAAATTAGTAACCGAATATGTAGGTGGACACCTTAATTAACATTTCAAAAAAGAAAGATTAGCTTTGTTAATTAACTAGCATTTTTTTTAACAAATGAAGCTGAAATGGCGTCTTGGGGACAATTGTAACAATAAGTAAAGGGACGATTGTAACAGCTGAAAATAAATAATCTTATGTTTACAAACCATTACTTAACTCTTTAAGAACCACCAATAGTTTCCTATAGCATTTATATTATGTTGCATGTGCATTATTTTATTTGTCACCTTTCACAGCATAAATTAAAATTTTTAACCCCTTAAAGTTAAAAGTTTAACGCTTTAGGTCTCTGCTCATTATTATTTTTACTCCTAAAATATCACTACTATTTTGATCAATAAAGAAATATATCACAACTATGATAATATGTATAATTAACTATGTTTTAGTTGAATTTATGAACTGTTACAATTGACCCCGTAAGTGGGGACAATTGTAACAAGTGCTCGACTGTCAAAAATTGTTAATTACTAATATAATAACATATAAAATCAGGTATTTATTTTTTTTTCTAGTAGAGGATAGTCTACTTTACTCGTCTGTCAATTAATACTAATAATATATTGGATTTTTTGTTAGTTAAAAATAGTTAAGTAAAAAATGTTACAATTGACCCCACTCTCCCCTACTTAAAAAAAATAAATAAATAAAAAAAAAAAAAAAAATTTAAAAAAAAACAGCATAGAAAGGTTAAAATGTCTTTCACGCGTTGACCAAAAACTTTTGCACGCTAGTGTAATTATTAAAAAACTACAGTGCGTCTTATAATTTGATCTAATTATTATAATATACTAATATAATACCTGATATAATAAATATTCTATATTAATATAATAAATCGTCTAATTTTTTCCAATAGTCTAATTTACATTAGATTTCTTCTAATTTATTCCATTGATACACTAACGTAAACAAGTGCAAACCGGTTTGAGTCGCGTAAAAACAATAAAGCTGTATAGTATCACCTGATAATTAAGATTCCAGGGAATGTTTGTTTGTTTATTCTACAATTTACGCTTTTATGTAACTTAAAGTGTAATAGCATAAAGTTTTTAATTGGATTATCGGATTATACTTAATAATATAAAGTTTTTATTCGGATTTTCGATTAAAATAATCTATTAGTAATATGCATTTCACTCGATCAATATAATATTTTAAAAAAAAGTTTGCAGTGAAGTGTTTCCACACCACTATATTAGGTTTATTCACATTTTTTCTTGTTTTCTCTTTCTTTTCATTCTATTTTTTTTTTTTTAGCAATTCTTACTTTATTCTAATTTGTTATTACCAGTTCCATCCTGCAGGTTTCTTTTGAAGTAGTAAATTGAACTATAACGTTCAATCTGAAACAAATTTTTACAATGTATAATCGATTTACAAATAGTTTATCCAAACAAGTTTGAAATGCCAGTTCATGGCGTCAAATACTAAATAGAATGATAAACATTGATGTCAGACGCTGTCCGGTTTTTTTTTTTTTTTAATTTTATCGATTTCATCGACAAGAGAATTCGGTTATTTTCGGTGAATAAAATATTTTATAATGATGTTGACGCATCCATAAAAATATTTTCTTTTAATTGAGTAGGATTTAAAAGCTTAAAATTTTTATTACTATTTAGCAATGAATATTTCTTGAATGCGTATTTTTTTTTTAAATTCAATAAAAAAAAAATATTTAGAGTGTAAAAAATTTGCTACCTCTTAAAATGTGTAGCAATAAAAAGAAATTCATTTAATCACTCAAAAATATTTTTTTATCGGAAAAGTAAATAAAATTTAAAAGAAGAAGTAAAAAAAAACAATTGAAGAAATTGATAAATCTTAGTTTAAAAAGCACTAACTTTATACGATGCTGTTGTTCTAAACTGTAATATCAACTTACGTTTTTTACATTTGTATTTTTATTCATTTCTATAACTTGGTGTTTTAATATAAATTCGCAAAATTGAATTGCGATTACTTTATAAAATGCTGCTACGAAGTAAAGGTACTTTAATATTAATTTATCGAAAGTGCGGAAAAAGTGAACATAACTTTTCTGCTGATTTGATTTTTATGTACTCACTCATAATTATCCTTAGCCTAATGCTAACTAGCTAGGGTAGACAATATTTTACGATATGAAATCAGACATATTTTCTCAGAAAAAGCATAACTTTTATTTTTCTCAGTCCTCATTAATAAAAACAATAGTCTTTTGCGTTTTAGAAGACATGCAAAATTTCGACTGGGCAACTTTTTAAAATTGGCTAACTTTGTAATTATTCGACAGATTTCCATCAAATCTTAGATTTTGCCATTTAAAATTATATATTGTTATATATGATGTAAAATGTATACCTTACAATTGAAACTTCTTCCGACTGTTACTAAATAATAAAAGTAACCGAAATATAGCGAAATAAGAGCATTTAAAAAGTTAACTAAATAATGGGGAGTCCAAACGTTCGACTGCTTTCCTTCTAAACTATTCAAACCATATTTTATTTTATTTTATAACCGTCGTTGAACAGCCGACCCAGCTTTTCGGGTTAACAATTTTTAAGTTTACGACTACAACGATGTTCAACTCCATTGCCTTATATTTTTGAACCCAAGTCAGAAGATAAGGGAACTATTAGGAGATATTTGCCTCCGTGGAGGACGTTTTGGTGGAGCTAACCCTTATTTGCGTTGCATGGAGAGGAAAACCACGAAAGCCACCCACAGTCAGCCTTACGACAAGGGAACTTTAACCCATGATCCATCTACCAGTAAAAATATTTTGCGTCAGCGCTGTGGTCGGTGCAAGCTAGATGCGGAATTTGTATCGACCAGCCATCGCTGGGATTCGAACCTGGTTCACCTCATTGGAAGGCGAATT